CCTATGTTTCGAGGGGTGAATCGATTAGCTTGGGACCGAAGATAGTACCAGAGCTGAGCCAAAAAGTTGAGCACATTTCTTCGGGACCTTCTGGTCTTAGAGTTACCTCTATGGTTGTACATCCCGTTCCAGAGCGTTGGACCAAGGATGGAGCCTTGTGGAACTCCCGCTGTGAGCCTAATCCATTTCTGTCCCATGTCTGTCTCGTAGACCAGAACCCGGTTCTGGAAATAACTCCTCAGGATCCTGCACAGGTAGTCAGGGACCCTCATTCTATGCCTCCAAGAGCTTTCCGTGTGTGTGTGTGTGTGTGTGTGTGTGTGTTTTTTTTTATAGTAAGGAAAGCTTCAAAAGCCTGGCCTGTCACTGTGTTGCGTGTTTGTTCTCCTTCTGGCACAGTGTGGGACTCTTAACCACTAAAACTTTACTCGCCTCTAGCCACTATCCCCCCGGAACTCCCCTAGAGTATTTCGAGTATTTGCAGCTCCAACAAAATTTGCGTCACTGCCCTGCTGACGACGCTCCACGTCCTCTCATCCCGGCCATTTCACTGACGACATTTCTCGTGCTAAGGGCCAGCATCTCCACTCGCACTGCCTCAAATTTTGGGCAGTCGAAAACCACGTGCTCCGGAGTTTCGTCCACGTTGCCACACTCCGGACAGAGGGGTGACGTTGTGTGCCCAAAGCGATGCAGGTACTTCCTGAAGCAGCCATGACCAGACAGGAACTGCGTCAAATGGAAGTTGACTTCTCCATGCTTCCTGTTCACCCAGGTCGAAAGAATCGGTATTAGCCTGTGTGTCCATCTACCGTTCTCCACTGCGTCCCACTCCAGTTGCCACTTAGCCATCGACTCCGTTCTCACCAATGTCCGTACTCCTCTGGTATCTCTTCGCATATAGCATTCGGTGTCCTCCGCCAAGGTGATGTAGATGAGTATCATACCGGCGATAACGCATACTGCTTCCGTCGAAATTGTTCTGTACGCACTCACGACTCGCATGGCCATGAGGCGGAACGTACTGCTTCTAGTTTTGCCAGAGCTTCCAGCAGACTGTGCCCTCTTGCATTGGAACACCTGCTTCCCCACTCCACTGCCCAAGCATTGAAGTCTCCTCCGATGACTACCGGTCGTCGTCCGACCAGCTCTTCGGTAAAGTGTGTGTGTGTGTGTGTGTGTGTGTGTGTGTGTGTGTGTGTGTGTGTGTGTGTGTGTGTGTGTGTGTGTGTGTGTGTGTGTGTGTGTGTGTGTGTGTGTGTGTGTGTGTGTATGTGTGTGTGGGTGTGTGTGGGTGTGTGTGTGAGTGTGTGTATTCCCTCTGGAAGTCACTCGCGCATCCGCCGATACCGCCGATTCCGGGAACTAACCGCAAACGCCGATCGAAATTGCACACGAAAAAGAAGACCCGAAAATCCGTCGAAATCCGCGAAAAATCCGAAACTAGGAGAGAACCAGACTCGCGTGTGTCTCGACTGAGAATTTTTTTTTTCTGAACTAACCTTTAAATCAAGCAGTATAATTGACGCTTTTTAGTAAGTTTTAAAATGATCCTATAGAGAAAGGAGGAACGAAATGGCAAATCAACTTAGCTGAGTGTTGCTACGCGTTAGTTGGAACAGACAGCACCGCATGCAGCGGTGAGGAATTTGATTTTCACTTAATGCACATTTCAACACAACTTCTGTACTTTCACATTTAACCCTTTTTTTTTATAAAAAAAGGCAATTTTTAACATTTTCACAAGCACTAAAACGTCACAGCAAAAGAAAAATACGTCATTTTCGCAGCGCGGCCTACTCGATCATTTTTTTTCTGTATAATATGTCTTCATTTCAAATATATCATTCCTTATTTTTAGCTTTTTAGAAAATATTGCAACTTATTATTTCATAAATAGTGCAAGACAAATGCAGTAAGATGATACCCCGGACAGACTATGGTTTATATCATGTAATATAGGCTGGCTTGCAATGAGCACTCATACATAGGATTTCCAGTGAAAACTAGATGTATGAGTGCTCATTGCAAGACAGCCTATATTACATGATATAAGCCATAGTCTGTACGGGCTATGAGACATCCTTGCCGCACATTGGCCTTATTCATATATTCTTTCAGGTACTTTACCAACTATAGCAGGAGTCATTAAACAGCATTATACATATTTTAATCATTTTATCGCATACATTATAACGTATTTTATAATTATATGTTGCATTACTGCATTACAGTCTTTAGATTTGTTGAACCTCTTAAGGAAATCCCTTTATGAAGAGCTTTGAGTGTGTTGGTTTGTTTCCTTTTAGTTCCGTTCAAGGTGACTACATATAGGTGTTCTAATGTGTCAAATTCATGATTCAGCCATGTTGGATTTTTGTATGGGACAGCGACCGAGTTTGTTTACAATTTGCTCTAAAACCGCACTTTTCCCCCCCGCGACCTCCTCGCCTATATAGTGACAAAGCTGTATCACCATTTATATACCCACCATGGCTCCCTTGTGATTGCTTGTTTTTTGACAGATGCGCATGTTTCGTCTGCTACTTGCGGACTTCATCAGTGCCAAGTGGTGTTGAGTACTTGGCACTGATGAAGTCTGCAAGTGGTGTACGAGGTGCGTGTCTGTCGGGGGATGGGCGGTTACAGCGGCTCTTCATACATTACAGTGTTATATTTTATTTATTTATACGATTTATTATACATATTTTTCTAGGCCTTTACTTAAGAGGTTTCAGCCTAAAGGCTGGTTTATTTTTCATATTATATTTTTTATAATATTGGTTATCTTATGTTATACTATAATGAAGCATATTTATGGCACTACATATCTTTCATTATTGGCTTACATCATATTGTATTATTATAAATTATATTTTATTATACTTATTTCTTAATGTTAGTTATTATGAGCGGCTTCAGGAACCCTAATAGACAAATACGATAAACGAACTGTATCGCGGATGGGTAAACTATCCCACAAATGGTTTGGATCATACGCATTTTCAATATTATATAACAATTAAATAGGTAACACACATTTCAGGTCATCCAGGGCATAAATTCTTCTTATCAACAGCTACTTTTTATAGCACAGCAGATGCAGAAGTAGCACAAAGCAACAAAATAGTTACACTGTTTGATTACAATAATCAATGAACAACATATCAAGTTATTTTTTTTTACCTTTGCACCATCAGTGTTGATATATTTAATAGTAGGTATCCTTGTAAATGTAATGTCTCATGTCCAAATAACTTCGATTTAGTATTATATTTTCAAAACATGCGATGGTGCGTTATGTCATTTCATGGCACATAAAACAAAAAGTATGTGTATAGGTCCCTATACAATATTATGGGTTAAATGAAGTTGAATTCAAATAAATCAAAACCTAGGTTATTTGTATTTTGTAAAACATATTTTTTTTTATATGTTGCATTTCACTACATATATTATATATATTATATATTGCATGATTACATTTAAATTTATACTTTAAATTACAACAATGTTGGGATAGGATGGAGCATCAGGGCATCATTGAAGTTGTAACTGGACAATGGAGTGGAGTGCCAACCGGAGTCTAGGAGGGAATGTGTATTGTCATTTTAGATAGTTACATTTCACTTCAACAGTTGCAATCAATTTGACGCGCTCTTCTTCAACAAACCATTCCATGGAAACCCTAATAAAAATTGTATGGTTAATTTGCTTAACGACGTGTTCTGGGTATCATCCAAACCATTTGTGGAATAGTTCAATGATTTGGGTTATCGTTCGTTTATGGTTATTTTTTATTAGGGAAGCTTAACATGTATTGTGAATTTCGTTATTCGTTTTGTTGGATTGGAAGGAGATTCTCTTATTCCCGCGGGTTTCGCGCATAAGTTTCTCTGCTTGCAGGCCCGTCTAACCCTTATTGGCCCTTCATACAGCAGTATGTTGAATTCAGAATAATGACGAAATTTGATCTTGCTGTTGAGTGGAGCCGCATACAGGGCAGGACCCAAGCTAGGATGGTGGCTACTTACATACATACATACATATAAAATAAATCGCCGTAGCTATTTAACTCTTGATACCATATCTAACGAACATAATACACAAAATAGTGCCCAGACAAATATCACTTCTGTACGGTGGTAAGCTCCAACCGGTATTATACTCGGATTAAATCCCGATCACGAATGTCGGCTCTTTTCTTGTCGACATCGATGTTAATCAATACAATCCTTAACAAACATTTGGCAGATCCTCCAATCAGGACCGGTATTAAAAGTTAATCCGAATTGGACCTTACAGTCCTTGGGGCGAGCATTTGCGAATGCTTATTAATTACCTATAGGAATTTTGATATCCTATCATAGCCGATTTAAGCAATCAACAACAATGTTCACCTTGAGCTGTCTAAAGGTCCAAGCGCAATGACAGCGGAAGCAGACCGACAGTAGCAGCGGAAAAGCCCGATCGGAGGAAACCTACTTGTCGGATTGAAAACTAGTTATAACCTGTTATAACCAAATCGACTTCAGTTAGATATCGTGATATCATCTGTGACAACTGACAAACTTACTGTTTCCATTCCGCTTCCGCCCACATTGCGTTTGGGCCTTAAGTGTCTAGCTGCATGTTTATAAGTTTGTTTTGTAAAGAAAAAGTAGAAGAGAATTTCTATTGCCCTTGTCGTAAGTAACAATTTCGGATGCAATTAGGCTAGAATGTGCTTGAACTGCGAGTAGTTTAATAAGTTGATATTATTTATTTAATATGCACAGCACTAGGCACAGCATGTTATTTAATGCATTAGTGAAGGATCATTGCAGCGCGCAGCACACAGAGCGAAACCTTTTGTTTGCTGCATGGAATAGTTCATCGTAGTATGCCCCGAGTAATCATTTTTTTTTTCCATTGTTATGCATACGCATAGTCACTCAAGCAGTAAACTAACGCGTGACTGGAAGATTTCAAATTTGAAGCAGCAAGCGAGTGACAGTTGGTTCAGTTGTAGTGTTTTTCGTTCTTTGAATACCTGCTGCAACCGGAAGAAAAGCAATGTACGTCGACGTTAATCTCTTTTCATTGCAAAAGAACGGCCGGTTCGCGGCGGTGTGGTTGGCCGCAACCAACAAAACTTTATTTCGTCGGTACATCAAACGTGGACAGTGCGAAAAGATCGACATCGATGACATTTGGTAAGGAAAAGAATTTTTGCGTACATCGATTCTTCTGTAATAATTGGTATCATCTACCATCTCCAGTAAATTAATCATCGATTGTGCAAATACCAACAAACCCTTGATTATGGTAGCCAAGCTTGCATACGGTGCTGTATATATATATCAACAGCAGGTTCAATTCCTGTATGGTAAGATTAACAGATTGTCATTGATTTTCCCGAAATAACAGTATCTTTCATTCATTAGATAAGGTTAGCACTGCAGCATGTCATCAGACTGCTGCGCTTCTGGACCTCAGACATTCATACAAGTAAGACACACCGTATGCGATTAGGAAATTCATAAATTCATCAGTATGCCGCGGATACACTTGTATGACAAACTATGAACATGAGCATTATTTGTAAAATAATTATGAGCACTATTATAATACAAAAACTATACAAGTGTGACCATGGATATGCTCATAATTTATTATACAAATAATACCCATGTTCATAGTTTGCCATACAAGTGTATCCGCGGCAAAAGATCCATGAATATCCCATGAAAGTGATTTTCAACAAGTTCTGCAAAGGTCTAAAGATTTAATCCATGATATCGTGAATGGCACCTGCCACGTCCTTAAAATATTTTATGTACTGTAGTATTGTCGAGCGCCCACCAAATCGGAACATAAGACATCTGAAGTAAAAATAAACATTAGCGACATAGGAAGTACAGAGATGCCAGCCATCCACAATAAAGTGTTACGCACTATGGATTAATTGAAGCTGTCAGTTTTAATCTCACTAGTACTGACAGCATGGCAGCACCTTCTTATGGCCAAAAAGTTAGTAAAAAAAAATGTATTTATTATGTATTATTATTGTTTCAACAATCCAGTATTTTTGTTCCTCAAAACCCATTGGTCAATAGAAAATAAGATATTTTCGAATTTACAAGAGCTTTTGTGGTTTTGACGTAAGCTGTCGAATTTGGCAGCTGGGTCAACAACAAAAATATGTTTGTTTTTTAAATAGATTTTTTGTTGATCCAATCATATTTATTTTATGAAGCCTGACAATACACGCAGTCGGTATAAAAATATTTTTATTGATTCAATAATAATTTTGCGATTATTGTTAAGTTATGTTTTCTTTATGTATCAAACAGAATTGCAATCTAAATTAGAAAACCTTTTTTTCAAATCCGTTTTTTAGACACAATGACTGAGGGTAAAACCATAGAGGTAACTCTAAGACTAGAAGCTCCCGAAATAACGTGCTCAACTTTTTGGCTCAGCTCTGGTACTCTCTTCGGTCCCAAGCTAATCGATTCACCCCTCGAAACATAGGAAAAACCAATAACCCCTCATTTTATCTGTCAAACTTTCATAGCGAATCAAAACAAACATTGCGTAGTACTAGAATTTCGACTAGAACGGGGTACGTTAATCGTTTGCTTGGGACCAATAGGCTAGTCAAGTAGTGAGCGAATTTAAAATCGTTAGTTTCGTATTGATTGTTGGTAAAACTATTTTGCTATATTTTTTTTCTTCTCAAATAAATTTGTTTGTTTTGAGAACAGAAGTGAACATTTATAAAATTTCTGTAATAAGCTATAGGTTGAAAACAGAAACGCACCGTAAAAAGAAGCAGGTACAGCAGCAGCGGCTGCAGCACCAGCAAGAAACTCAAGCGCAGTGCATGCATGTTCACCAATATATTTCACTCTGGGACACATATTGTTGGCTGAAAAACTGTTTAACTGTTACTTACCTCAAGTCTCCATATTTGCGGAAATATTGCACTTATTTCACAAAATTTGAACGAGAACAGTTTGTGTTATTGTCATTTTTGTCCGGATGAAAACGAGGGAATGGTTGGTAGAGTAATTTTTGCATTCGTTACATAGTGATACATCGCTTCGCCCGGGGAATGGACACAATAAATTAATGCTAAATTAAAACTAATTGTTGGCTTAATAAAAGAATATTGTTGTTTTTACAATAGTTGCAATTGAAAAGAGGTTTATTAAAACAAAAAGAATCTTATTTTGAATTTATGTGAATAAATATTATCGAAACAATAAAATCAACAGGAGCTCTTAGCTAACAAACAGAAATTTCAGAGATCTCAGTAAAAATAAATGCCGAGCAGTGCCAATCTCGACAAAAAATTTAAGTGTGCACATGATTTTCATGTAACCACTCATAAACAAAATCCACTCAGAAGTACACATGAAATGTATGGCCCTTATTACCGATGCCACTTCACGGTGAAGTGATAACTTATCATTCACGGTGAAGTGATTCCCATTTGATTTACACGGTAATCACTTCACCGTGAGTGAAAACTGGTCACTTCACTTCGTTTTCCCTGTTGATCGTTCTACTTTCGAGAAGGTGTTGGTCAAAATTGATTCCTGGTCTGACAGAAATGAACCTGATACAATAGCAGGTTGTCGGTTGACGAAATAAATAAATCTAAATCTAAATCAAACGGACAATCAGGTCGAATAGGAAATTAGGCCAAATCTTCTTTTTTTTCTTGATTTGTTTTCCGTCGATCTTTTTTTCCATACTGAGTACCGATGCTACCGACGCCAGGGAGGCAGCTCCTATACCTGGACCCTTCATATCGACCCATCAATTCATGGACCTGAGACGAACGGCTTACTTCCCTTCCCAAAAGATTTTATGCCTAAGAAAATCCCGGCGGCGCCGACATAATAACTACTGATAATTTTATATGCACTTTAATTCCTAATTTTCTCTAGCACGAATGTTCAAAATTCATCTGCAACTCGTAAACATGCTAGTCGTGTCAAATCAAACCTGGAAGAAAGGTATGACGAATGTCTGGCGGACACTATTCTTTCGCCTGAGGAAATTATTTTGCAATTGTTGGCCGATAAGCGAAGTACAAACGTTACTAGTAGCGATGATATCACCTTGCGGGAACCGACTATTGGAACACTTTGTTCTATCACTGAAACTACCCTACATGAAGATAACGGATTTGGCGAGATGAAGTTGCCAGAGTACAACGAGTTTCTTGGAACGCCATCGGTAGATTCGTCACAGAATGCCACCCGTCATGACTCAAGTATCGCAGAGTACACCACCGACGTAGGGGAATCAGTTTTGGATGACCTTTCACAGAGTGTTGATCAAACCATTCGAGGAACGTCGATCACTGAGCCTCAATTAGACTGTCCTTCGATGGACATTATGTAAGTAGTTGAACTTAGGCCATCGAAATTAAAAGATAATAACTTTGTATGATTTTAGAGACATGCCCATCGCAAGTACCAGTTTATCACAGTTGCAACCCGTTCATGACTCTTCAGGAAATGATGGTCACTATTTGGCAGTAGATCAGCATTTTTATTGCCTTGATGAAGACACAACGGTGACGACACCACCACAAAGGTAACAATAGGTTTCATAAATCTAGATGAACATTTCAATTGGTCCTAGGGACGATTCCTTTATTTCGCAACGCTCTAAGGTGGGTAAGGGTAAGCCTAAGGGTGGAAGGAGGGTTCAGAATTTATGTATTTATTTATAAAGTAATACTATCAACAGGGCTCTAATGATAAAAACAATTTACTCTAAATTACACAAATCGTCTGAAAGAAGTCACAACCCAAGTAACCAAAAGTTCCGCATTCAACGATTAAAATCACTTCCAAGTTCCATAAAGTTCAAATAAAGTTCCGACCGAACTTTCAAGCCACATGAAGCAATCCGCACAAGTACTCATTAGTAACAAAATTTAATGCACGTAAATATGAAATGATCAGTGGCCCGAATAAATCATTATTCTTATATTTATGCAGTGCATCAACATTCTATCCAAACATATAAAATAAAGAGTAATTTCCTGGATTCGAACCCGTGTATTCGGCATGCGATCTACGATTGCTAACCACTGCGCCACAAGTGTGTTGGAATACCATGCGGGTAAACAGCAATTTAAAATTCATCAAGGTGTTGTGTTTCGTATTCAAGTCAGTCAGCTGGCACTGAAAACTCCAACAGTAGGCGGGACAACAACTCACTTTAATATATCTCAGATGACGTAGCGGTTCGTGCTGGGGCTCTCACGCAGAAGGACTGGGTTTAATTCTTCAAACAGCTCAAATTCTACTACTATGCTGGTAAATCAATCCACAATTTAATACTTGCCTTCAGAAATAACTTTCATAAAAGTGCGAACTAAATTTGGTGTAGAGTACAAAAACCTTTTTTAATTTATTTTCTAAAAGTTCCATTCAAGTCCCGCCAGAAGCTGCTTAGAATGCTCTTCAAATATGGTACCGGAACTTTCAAGTTCTTATAACGACTTAAAAATGAGGCTGCTTAGAATTCTATAGACCACCTTCAACAAAGCTGCTTAAGCCACAAATAGCCGTTTATCGGAACTTTTGGTTACTTGGGAAACTTATTATTCAACGTTCCACGGGAAAAATAGAAATCAAAAATACAGGCTACTATATTAAAAACTCTCAGAAGACCACAGTTTTCACTATAGTTGGTAAAACGAAAAAGCAATTTTATTAATGAGTCATTTCTCAAACTACGCGCTCTTGCCTGAAGAGGTAGATATGCCAGAAGAGTGGGACCATCATTACGCGCACAGAGCACATCAGAAACACAGAGAGCACTGGATGTATTTTTCTTCTGACGCTGAGTATCCAGACATATAAACTGACACTGCATTCTATGATAAGCAATGTAACGTATAGGAAAAACGTGAAACGGGAGAAGGGTTTTTAATTCCTAAATCCCAAGTGACATAATTCTCGCGTAACACGAGAAAAAGGTCCTATAATGAGGTGGTTCAAAATATAAATTTTGCCCCACCAGGCTCAATCGATTCTAAATCAGAGCGATAGTTCTCTCTCTCTTCTGCGAACTCATACTGTACTGGTCCTTTGAAGTTTATGTAGGAATTACTCTCAAACAACACAAAAAGCACCAAAAGCGGAAATCTACTACGAATAATGTCAATCAATTTAAATGGCTAGAGTCGCTGTATGAGTTTGTTGTGACAGATCATAACATACCCCTTCTTCCTGAATCTGGTGAGTACATTCCTGCGCCATCAAACATGGACATTAAGCAATCATCCAAGGCTTCAGAAGTGACCAGACCAGACGGTTTAAAAGTGGAGTTGTTGAAAAATGTACCCGAGGAGTATATGAACGAACTTCATACAGTGATTGAAAATATTTGGATTGAAAAAAGGGCTCCTGAAGATATTTCTGAAAATATTCAGATACCGAAGAAGCCGTATACCCTAAGGACTAAGTGACTTCCGTAAAATAACTCTTTGTAACAAAATTGTAGCAAAGCGGGGTGTCCATTCAAATCCAATTTTTCAATTCCCGGTTTTTCCCGGTTATTAAAAAACAAACTCAACCCAAAAATTACCGCTGTCTTAAACTAAAAAGGCGACCAAAAATAACCGTTTATAGATAATCATATATTTTTTCAGCAGAATTGCTCTACAATAGTCTATTTTGTAAAAAAAAATAAAAGAGATGTGTATTGATATGTTTATGATCTAGATCTCCAACATCTCATGGAATCATGAATTTGTATACAATCAAAGTGTCTCCTGCAAAAAAAAAATGAGCCTAAATGTTGTAGTTGGATGTCGGAAAAAGCAAATCTCGATTACATTTTCCCCGAGATTTTCCCCCACCTGCAAGTGGTGTTAGTAAGCGTGTGCGAGCTACCAGCTACGCCAAATCAACGATCAAATGCATTGTTTACAAAAACTTATACGATTCTTCGAAAAAGTAATCGAGATGTTCAAAACAAGTTACCTGTACAGGAGAATCGCAGTATTAAAAGTTCTTGAATTTTCCTGGAGTTTATATCTTGAAGTTCTATAAGTCAAATAACATTTTCTGGGATACAAAGATGTGTTACAAAAAAAAAAAATATTTCTTCAAATTGTCTAGGAGATATTTTTCAGGTTAACCATTTTGAGCACTTTTGAGCATTTTGAGTTCATAACATCATTTAAAAATATCAATTTTGTTAAAAAAAAATATTGTTGGATTATCAAAATCATCCCGGATATCTGCTCTTGAAGTTCTGCAGACTCAACAAGGTATACGATGATTCGACTTAATGATAGAATGGGTAAACCTTTGTGAAGCCCCATAATATCATTTGTTTTTATTATTAGGTTTTCCTAAATGCCTGGGGTTCAGATCTTTTATTAAGTGGAGGCGAATCAGCCCCAGGCTGAAAGCCTCCCTAATAAAGATAAATCAATCAATCAATCTTTTATTATTATTATTATTAAAGTCACTTGAATTTGCAGAGGCGAACCAGCCTTTAGGCTGAAAACCTCTTAAATAAAGAAAAAAAAAAGTCACTTGAACACTCTTGGAACATTTGTGACTTATGGCAGTTAGATTTGAACTCAGGATAATGATGATTTTCCCTAGGTTTGGGCTGGACGATTTATCTCTAAGATAATTAAGTACTTCGACTTTGTCGTAAGAGGTATAGATTCAGATCTTTATATTTTACAGGCTAACCAAGGTATTCTACGATGTCCTGACTAATCTTGTGTACCGTAAAACGGGGTATCTTTGATAATGTGGGTACTTTGATAGTATTTTTTTTTCCTCTGATAGTATAATATAAAGATTACATTTACTCACTGCGCTTTGTTCAAATTAGAAACATTGGTTGCATATTGTAGCTTAGGGTATTCCCGTAGATATCGTATACAGTTTTTATGTAGTATGTATTACATATTTTACAAACATATTAAAAAACAATTTTCGTGTTTTCGCCTGTTTGAAAAAGCACGCAAACCATCACTTTTTTAGTGTATTTCCGATGTAGCCATCACAAATTTAATGTTGTATTCTTATTGCTAATGAAGTTTTCTGATTATTTACTCATTCAAAGTTTCATATTTAATGAACTAAATTATTTGAGTTTCATTCATTTTTTCAACATTCATCTAGCATTATCAAAGTACCGTTCCGATTCAAATTTCGGACACTTTCATTTTTAATTAAATATTACATCCAGTTAGAAACAAAGTAATAATGTTAGATGATCGTGGAGGGCACTAGTCAAAAAAATTTAAAATTTACAAGACATGTGGATCATATTCGACCGAGATAATCAACTTTTAAAAGTGTCCGAAATTCGAGTTTAAGTGTCCGAAATTTGAATCGGCACGGTAACCCCAAATCAAAATACTGAAGTTCAGTCACAAAACTAAAAAAAATAGTGCGAATGCTTTAATTTTCGTTAAACATATTACTAACGAATTAATTCTTGGATCCTCATTACTGGTTTTAAAAATATAAAATTTTCAAACATTCATTGCTGTAAAAAATATTTAAAATATACTTTAAAAAATTATCAATTTATCCCGTTTTACGGTACCTGGTTAACACAAATGCAGACATTATTTTTAATTTATCTCTGGACCAATCATTTCGTTGATTGTGTCCGGTGTCGAACATTGGCATGCCAAGCATGATCGGGTATGCAAGGAGTTTTAGATCGGTCATTCTTTTAATGGCTTGAATCTGCTTTTCTATCTTCAAGTATCTTCGTAAAAAGTTATAGTATGTCTGGCTCAGGCTTTAGAACTACTTCACTCAGAAAACTGTAGCAAAAGAATTCAAGCATCTTTCTTCCAATGAAGCCAAAAACAACGGAAAAATCACCGTTTACCCCGTGAACAGATTGTGAAAGAAAAGAATAGAGTTTTTGTAACTTTGAAGATTGTTGATACTTTATCACAATGAAAGACATAATATGAAAGTTGTAAACAGATGTGTAAACAAAATAATATAATTATGCACATGAAATAAAATTGATTGATTCCATGTAACATTGCATGTTTTATAAAGATGTAAATGATTCTTCAAACCCATATTATGGCCATCAAGACTATGATATTAAAAAAATGCTACTTAGGATGAATGTTAGACTGATGCAAAATTTGAAATTTTCGTTCCACAGTGTTCAAACAGTTTAAAATCGGGTTCTGATTAGCCTCCGAAAGTTTAAACTCATTTGATAAGAAACTGGCTTGGCACAAACCATTTGAAGTTTATATGGCGATTACTATGGGAAAACAAAACTTTTTGTTCATTGTCTTCTAGCCTTTTTCCATATTGTACTGTTAACAAGTTCTATTGCTTTTCTCATGAGAATTTTTATCAGCTACAACTTTGCAGAAAATCGTTTTTCAGCCAAATATCAAATTATATAGTTATTAATTCAGTGCTAACATTTGAAAACGGCATAAAAGCCATTTGTAAACAAATGGTTTGTGGGCCCTTTACTCACTACTTGAAGTACACCCACGCGACACAACAGCAACATCGGGTAGGGGAAATTTTCCCCTTCCTGACGATGCTGTTGGTTTGCGTGGG